GAAGTGAAGCCTCTATTTGACAGGCAGCGGAGGCTAGTCGATTGCCAACAGTAGACATCAAGAAACCAGATGATTGGAAATTTGATCAACTACCACGCAAGGGTTGATCAGTGACTTGGTTAGATACGTTTCAACCACAAATCCTCCTGATGATCCCTTTGCCGATCCCCTGATCGGGCAAAACCGCCACCCACCAGGAAAGGACACGACCGAGGCCCGCACTGGCCAAAAGTCTGACGGGGCAACCTGCGGATGAGGGCATCGACTCCCAACCAGCTCTGAGAAACTTTGCACCATCAATGTGACCAATGGTAAAGCGAATTGGATTGAACCGTTGCCGTACAGCGAAGTCCCTGCTTCCAAATGTGAGGCAAAGCAAGGACCCCATTCATGAGTGAGCCGCTCCGGAGTCCGGACCAGTACCATTCTTAAAGATGACATCTCCGCCCAGAAACCAAAACGTTTTGGTGAAGCTTCTCGGGCGTCGACTCTGTCTTGTGAATGCAATTTGTCTCCGGCGCATCATTGATCGGTACACAGCAGAAGGGAGGAACTTGCGGAAAAACACATCTGGCTTAACCATGTTGCAAGAACCCTTTGCCAAGCGGACGAGGATCAATTCCACGTTAGTAATTGGAGGAGCTAGGCCAACACTTCGGAACCTTTGAGAAAAAGAATGCTCCAAAGCAGGGCAGGTGAAGAAAATAATGTTTGTCAGAGAAGTTCGGGGCCAAAAAGAAAAACAAAAGGGGAAACCCAAAAACTAAACAGACAGCACAAGCAAACAAATTCAAATTTGCCTCGGCCCCAAGGGGGCCAAGGGCGCTCAGATCTCTTTCCAAAGAGAATCTTTGACGTGTCTCAAAACTAGCCTCAGGCCCAGCCCAACCAGCAACCCACCCAAGCAAGCCCAGGCCCAACCAGCAGCAACGCCAAGCAAAACCTTGGCTCAGGCCAGTCCAGCTGCCGAACCACCTGTCTGGCGTGCTGAAGCTAAGGCACAGCCAGGCTCCATGACTCACTCATGGTCCTATGCATCGACTTGCCCTTGCCTCGGGGGATTCCTGCGCAACTTCGGCCTATGACATCAATTGGTCCAACGACGCCAGAACCTGTCCATTCCTGAATCGCCACTTGTCCAGCTCTGCTGCTTGCAGTCGAACCACAAACGCTGCGCGCTCGGCTGGGCCGAGGCGGGCAACGCGCAGCGTTTCAACATACACACGATAAACAAACAGAAAGCCAAACCACAAACATTTGAACAACCGGCCCCGCTCCCCCCTTCCGTCCCGCGGAGGAAAAAAACAAAACCAAAAAATAATAAAAATAAAAATGCTTCTCATGGGCCCTGGCCACACTCCAGCAGCTCTCGGTGCGCCTCCTCCAGGCGCGCCCTGAGCTGCAGCAGATGCGCCAAGGCCTCCGCGCCCAGCTCCTGGCAACGAATTGTACCAGAAAGGGAGAATCCTCCAGCTGCATCTAGGTATAGATGTGTATACTAGATTGTGTACAGATAGATCATATATATATATATATATAATAATACAATAATAGTAATATAATAATAATAATAATGATAATAATAATATAAATAATAATATAATAAATAATAATAATTATATAAATATGAATATTAATAATAATAATAATTATAATAATTCAATAATAAAAAATAATATAATTATAATAAAAAAATTAATAATAATGATAATAATAATAATTAATAACAATAATAAAATAATATTAATAATAATACTAATAATAATAATAAAAATGATGATAATAATAATAATAATAATAATAATATAATAGCATTAATAATAATAATGATAATAATAATAATAATTAAGAATAATAATAAGAAAAATGATAATAATAATAATAATAATAATAATAATAATAGTAGTAATAATAAAAAAATAATAATGATAATAATAATAATAGTAGTAATAATAATATATATATATATACATATCTACTACAAGGAACACCGTCTGAACTGGAAGACTCGACCTCTTGCAATGAAAGCCAGCTGGCTTCTCTCAGCTGCACCCGGATCCTCCATGTCGTCGGCCAACTGCTGGAGTGCAGCCCGGAGTGTGCTCCTCACCTCCGCCCCAACCTGGCGGGGTCAACGGAAGATCTTGAGAGAGATTTACAGAGTACAGGGTATCCCACTCTACATGGCTTTGGCAACCAAAGAAGACTTCTACGTGCAAGCAAGGAAGAATTCTGACAGGACTCATGCAAGATACCAGCCCTCGCCCTTGCGGGTATTCAACGCTGGCCTGGGTGGTCTCGTGGAGGTGTTCGTCTTTGTGCCGTGCGTGGGTAAGCTTGCCCGCAGCACTGGATACGTATCCTAGTAGTATTTCAAAATGGTGACAGGGTTCAGGATATCAGCTTGAGAAAATGGATTGATATCAGCTTCCAGCTACCCCATCCAGCGAAAAGCGAGCCTCCGCAGACTTGTCCAGCTTGCAAAGGCAAACTACCAGCAGATATGCCTGCAGCAGCTACGTAATGTTCGGGAAGCGAAAGGACCCTCGCCGTAGGAAAAGTTCGCGACCACCAAACTTCTTTTTGCAATCTAGTTCAGATTTTGAGTATGGAATTGACCCGCTCAGTTCCATGTGGAGACCTTAATTCAGGGGAAGCAAGCTCTTATGTGTTGCTCAAGGGGAAAGACCACTTGGACCGAATCTTCGTTACTTGACAGAGAACGGCTGGTTTGTCGCCCTTGTCTGCTTCCTGATTGGAACCATGAGGTATCACCTTTACCCCACACCACGTGTTTCTGTCAACACTCTTCAAAACAATTATGAATTAGTCGAAAACCTGCAAGAAAACAAACAAACACATGCAAGACACATTCAACCAGTTCTGACCATTCAAAGGTTCCAAACGGTTAATATTATGTATGTATTTACTTTGAGAAACAAAAAAAGCTCAGGCGATATCCCCAACAGCACCACACCCTCCCAGAATCCTCGCGGAACGCCCCGACACCCACCTCACCGCCGCAAAGCTGATCGGGGCCCGACGGCGCAATCGGGGCCCGATCGGGGCCTGACGGCGCAACGAGGGCTCAAGGGGAACGATCGGGGCCCGAGTGCAGTTGGGGGGCCCTGACGGTGCAATCGGGGCCAGAGTGGGATCCGAGTCAGCTCGGTAGGGGCCCGGCGCAATCGGGGCGTGACTGCACAATCCCCAATCGCGGCCCGACGGTGCAATCATAATCGGGGTCGGGGCCCGACGGTGCAATCGTGCAATTGCAGTCGCGGCCCAACCAAACTGGAATCGGGGCCTGATCGGGGCCCGACGGTGCAATCGGGGCCCGACTGAGCAGGGCCGTGGCCCGACGGTGCAATCGGGCCCGGGGCCCGATGGTCTTGCGGTGCAACCCCAGCCACCCATTCATAGCTCAACGCGGGTTTAGGATGCGGCCTTACAGCTGTACCTAGCAAAAGCCAGCTTGGTACTGTTGACGGGGCCCGACTGAGTTGGGGGTGCGATCAGGGCGCGATGGCGGGGCAATCCGGCCCCGACGGTGCAATCGGGCCCCGACGGTGCAATCGATCTGGGCCCGGTGAACCTCGCAAATCATCCTCGTGGAACCCTCGCCGGAACTCAGCGTGAAACGTTGTGTTGGAACCTTGCCTCGGGGCTGCCCCATAGCTGTTGCAGAACCTGCGCAAACCTCGTGGAGCGCTTTTGGAACCTTACCCCGTAGCCCTTGCAGCCTCGTGGAATTCTTGGAACCTAAAGCCCACCAAGAAATACTCAGCAATGCCAAGCATTTACTCTGCTGCACAGTGAGTCCTGCAGCAACGTGATCTGATTTGCCAGAAAGCCAACAGTTCGGGCCGCGTTGACTGAGCAAGTGAGCGACAAAACAGTGAAAGTGTGCTAAAAACCATTGATTTCGGTTTTGCCCAGTGTTCCGCCCAGGAGCCCTCAATTTACTGCTCCGATGGCTTTTCAGACGGCGGGCGCACGACACACTGCTTCTCTCCAGGGCAAACCACGGAACCTTGCAGAACATTTCTGGAACCCTTGTAGAATCCTTACGGAACTCTGTGCAACCTTGTGAAACCTCAGGGCCGCATCCCTCGCAGAACCTCGTCGAACCTTTTAACACCCTAGTGAAACCTTCTTGCAACCTTACCTTTCAGAAATTGGGGGAACTTGGTGGAACCTTGGAACCTTACCCGGCCCTTTGGAACTTTCGTGGAACTGTGGAACCCTGATAAACCCAAGTGAGCATTGTATTGCGCTTGAAAGGGGGTGGTCATAAGGGTCCCACGCGTAAGGAAAACACATGGCGGCGTAAGGCCGCGCAAGCTCTTTTTCGAGAAAACGCAAAAACGAATTAGTGCGCGCCTCTAATTCGTTTTTGGTTTTGGGCACCTGGAATGTCTTGGTAGGGGCTCAAACACCCAAAAATGGAACTAGTGCATGTCACATGCTAACTTTGAGGCTAGTTAGCTGGCGAAACATTGCTGGGGTGTGGAAAACACAAAAACGAATTAGTGCGTGCCGCTAATTTGTTTTTGGTTTTGGGCACCTGGAATGTCTTGTTAGGGGCTCAAACACCCAAAAACGGAGTTAGTGCATGTCACTAATGCCTCTTTGAGGCACGTGGCTGGGGAGTGGAAAACGCAAAAACGAATTAGTGCGCGCCGCTAATTCGTTTTTGGTTTTGGGCACCTGGAATGTCTTGTTAGGGGCTCAAACACCCAAAAACGGAGTTAGTGCATGTCACTAATGCCTCCTTGAGGCTAGTTAGCTGGCAAAACGTGGCTGGGGAGTGGAAAACGCAAAAACGAATTAGTGCGCGGCGCCAATTCGTTTTTGGTTTTGTGCATTTGGAGGGCCGCTTTTTCCCTGGTTTTGAGAGGTTCAGCTCCGCGACGCGCAGCTGTGGGGGGGGGGGGTTGGGAAAGGTTTCGGGCTCGAAACCCCCCAGCTGGTGAAATGAGCCGGGGCAACAGGTGTGTGGACGGATGCGGACGTGCGTGCGAAAGCGGGCGTAAGGAAACCATCCAGTTTCGTAAGGAATTGTTTTCGCCTGAGCTGCACGCAAGGTTTGCGCAAGGCGTAAGAAAACCAGTATTGTGCGTAAGCTCGCCCAAGCACCTTGGCGTAAGAGTTCCTTACGACCTAGATTTGAACAAGACCCTTTTGAACGCCGCTCAAGTGAACATTGGTGGAACTTTCGTGGAACCCCTTAAACCATCCCAGACCACCCCGCACCCTTGAGAAGCTGGTGGAACCCTGGCGAAACCCTGCTAAAACCTTGTGGACCTGGTAGAAACTTTACCTCAACCCCTGACCACGCCGCTGGTGGAACTCTGGGTGGAACCCTGGTGGAACCCTGGTGGAACCTCGTGGAACCTTACCTCAACCACGGACCACCCCGCAGCCCTCGCAGAACCTGGTGGAGAACCCTGGTGGAACCCTCGTTTAACCTTACCTCAAACCACCCAGACCACCCGCAGCCCTCGCAGAACCTGGGGTGGAAACCTGGTGCAACCCTGGTGGAACCCTGGTGGAAGCCTGGTGGAACCCTCGTGGAACCTTACCTCAAACCACCCCGGACCACCCCGCAGCCCTCGCAGAACCTTGTGGTGGAACCCTCGTGGAACCTTACCTCGGGGCCGCCCCGGACCAGCCTATCTGGGCTGAGACCCCAAAGCTTTCAGCTGTTGGGGGGGGGGGGGAAAATCCTTTACTAAAAAAAAAAAAACGACAATATTATACCAACACCGTTCAAAACTGTTCAAAACAAACTTCAACCCATAGCAAGACCAACATTCCGCCCCAGCTTCGTGGCACCTCCATGGCTGAGAAGCTGAAGAGCCGAGCCTCTACCTCCCAAAGGCGATTCGAAAGCGAGAGCCCAAGAGCCCAAGGGCCGATTTGGAGTCACACTGTGACTTGGGAGTTGCTCTTTTCTTTTTGTTCTTTCCTTTGATATTTTCGTTTGGGTGTGTCACGGTGGTTCTTTCTTTTCTCTGGTCTCTTGTTTGGGAGGGGGGGCCTGTGGGGTTGTGGGGTTTCTGCAGGTTTTGAATTTCAATCAGGGACCCGAAATGGTGGACATCTTCTTTGAATGGGGATTGCTGCACACCTACCATTTGGGACGGCGTTCCTCGTTTTGATTCATAGCCATTTGGACGACAACAATGGAGGAACAAAGGGCTTGCTCATTCCAGGTCGTTCAGCGTACTTGTCGTCGTCTGCGCCATTTCAACGTGCAAGCCCCCAGGGGCGCGAAACTTGATGTGTACAACTTAGTTCGTGATCCTAGCTGCAAGCCATTCATGTTTCTTGCAGGACACGGATGCGCCTTGTTTTGATTTTCTGCGTTTCAGATGTGAGTTGCTTTCCGAATGTGTAGGGACTTCCGTCAAAAACTATTTACAATCCACGAGACTGAAACAAACCAACTGGTGAGAACATGTGGTGTCTTCTTGGTTTCTCTGTCAAACCACGCAAAAAATGCCAACTCCAAACAAAACATGCACCCAAATCTGCGTATGTCCCAAACAAGGGGGACCCCAGTGAAGGTCTTGGTGTTGAAACCGGCGAAAAGCGCACCTCCCAAACCGCGACTCGGCCCCGAACCTCCGAGGCCCCGGCTCGGCCGAGCAGCGCGGCAAAGGCGGGGCTGCTGACGAGGTCAGGGACCTCCCGTGGATCAGTTGGAGCCCCCCAACCCCCCACTGAACATGGCAGACCGGAGAAAAAAGAAAAGGAATGAAAGCCAAGGAAACCAAACCAACGTTATACGCCTGCGGCGTTTACCCTCGGTGCAGGCATGGGTGCAGAGAAGTTCACAAAAAGCAGAGCTTTGACAGCAGCTTTCTACCAATTTGAAAACGTATCCCCAGTTGCCCCAATGTTTTCTCAAAAAAAAAAAAAACATCAACTGCCGTGCCAGCAAACATGGGGTTTCTTTGGACTGGGTGATGTCTGAAGGTAAAGGGCGGAAATGTGTTCCCTCCCTTCACACAACGCATTTCACATCCATACCCTTGCCCCAATGTGTGCGTGTGTGTGTGTGTGTGTGTCACAGAGATGGGAGGCATGCCCCGTTGAAAAGGTGCAGCTCCCCATCCTCAATGATGTTGATACGGGGGAGGTCTCAATGATATTGATAAAGCTCCCCATCCCTTTTCGATGATGCGCATGGATACTCTTCTGTTGTTACTAGGATGCTTCGATATTGCTTGGAGACTGGCTGAGAAACAGCTTGGTTTGGGGGCTTGTCTAGGGCTGGGTGGGTATTCAAATGCTTCGGCTGAAGGACAAGCTTGAACTGACAGGCGCGTGATAAATTAGCCTATCTTGCCTGACCCGCAATGGCTAGAACATGTTCCGTGCAAGCACGCGTTTTGAAGCTGAAAGGGTGCAGCGTACATGCCGGATCGTCGCCTCAGCTTGCAGCACTCCACCCTGCAACTGCACACCTCTTCCACCACTATGGCTGTGCACAGGCTTTAGAAAAGGGGAGAAGAAAAGAGGCAAAGGGCAAAAAAAAACGGAGCGACGACAAGACGCTCTCAACGAGCCCGATCGGGGTGATGCCGAATGAGAATCCAGGATCAACAGCTCTGGTTCATTCATCAGGGAGTGTCCCTCTTTAGAGGGCTCACTCTCTTTTGGCGCAAACGCCCCAAGAAAAGTCCGGCAGGCTGATTCAGGCGGGGTCAACTTTAACCTTCCAACGCTTGTTCTAGCAAGACCTTTTCCTTTGCAACCCACAACTAAGAATACTCATACATACCAAGAAGAGTGAAGTTGAATTCCGGGAAGGAACCTCTTCCCTCTCATTGGTGCTTCGGTTTGGAGAGTGGGAGCCGGGGATTCAAACCCTAAAAAACAATCCAATTCATCTAAGTGTCACTTTTCCACCTTGTTCAGGGTTCCGTTTCTTTTCCCGACAGCACAGTCCCTCCAATACATGGGCACAAAAGAGCAAGATCTCACGGCCTTAGGTGTGTCTGTCATATTGTGGGGGAGGGGATTGTATAGCCCGACCCATGAAGTTTTTCGCGGCAAGGGCCCCGAAGGGAAACTCACCTTGAATTCAGTTCCTCTAGGTGCTTTGGCTTGTTTTTGGAGGGCTGGTACTTTCCCATTGGAACCAGGGCTTCGAACCCAAATCCAAACAAGTCCAAAGCGGGCTGGTATTCCTTTTGGTGTCCATTCAAAAACCACCTGAAAACCGGTACCCTCTCGCAGCATTGGCGTGAAGCGAGCGCCTTCTGCTCCGCCGCGGCCACGCTGGTCACTTCCCCGAGGCTCGCCAGTGCCTGCGACCCCAGGAAATAAGAAGAAGAAAAAAGAAAAAGGGAAAAAAACACGGACACCGCTGCGGGAATAGGAGACGGAATCCCAAAAATCGCATATGGAACCGCGCAAAAGGTGTAGGATATGCTTGGGTCTATCACAAATGGTGGAGCCATGAAACCTTGAAGATGAGATGTGGGACCCTGGAAAGGTAAAGCGATGCTTGGACACAAGCGCCAAGTTGCCCTCCAAAAAAAAAACAAGCCCTGAAAGTGTTTGACCCTGTCTTGGCTTGTTGGTTCTGACCACATCGGGAACGTCAAACCCGCGCAGAAGTGGCAAGAGCCTCTGTTGGTTCCTGAAAATGGGTCGATGACCAATGATGAAACACTGACAGTGCGTGGAAATGCTAGACCAAATCTGACCTGCGATAGGAAAGCCTCAATGCTTGAACGGTGGATTGACAAGCCACAAAAGGTGGGGGACATGCTGTCTCATGATCCTGAGCAAACAGAAATGATTATCCAGCCGAAGTTGCCTTGGAAAGTGTCCCTTCCCATTGCCGTTCGCGAAGCAACTTCCTAACGTTTGCCAGGCCCACTTGACTTGTGCTCCTTCTGAGCAGGTGACACTCCCAGAACTACTTGCTAAATGGTGGTAAAGACGCATCAAACCCACCAACAGCTGCCTTAGCTCATAAACCCAGTCTTGGTGGCCTGCGCCTTAGGATTAAGAGTTGTGGACGACATCTGAAGAGGCCGGAGTGGGTGCGGGCTGAAACGGTCAGATGGAGAGAGTTGGAACAAATTCTATGGGACGCCTTGGGATGTCAGAAAAAGCTGCTGAAACCCACAGCGGCGTGTCCAATGCTGGAACACACTTCAGGCAACGGGCCTGCAGTCGATGCACAGGCTTTTGGGGGAAGAAAGATCTGAGATATCTGCAAAGCGATTCGGCTTTTCTGGCACACCGTCACTCCTGAAGCTACATGATTCCTGACGGTTGTAGCCCAGCCTGTGGTAAACCGTGTGGATAACCCTGAGAACGTGTTGCCACATGTTGTCCAAAGTGCCTTCTGGCGCAACTTGTGTTCTGCCTTTCGACGACGACAATGTCTGCATCCGTCCCTAAAGCAGCATGGCAATCATATATATATATATATGTATAAATACAGTACATATTGTCAAATTGTTGGTGAAAGGTGCAAAGCATGCCTACTATTCCATGAACTGGCACTATCAACCCACTCAACCAAACCGAAGCGCCGTCAGGTTCATGTCGCATGTTTTCAACCGGGGCCGCTTGATGGGAACCCCGAACCCCAAGTGTTCAATAACCCTGCATCATTTGGCGGAAGGCGATCCGGAGTTGTAAAGAGGCCAACCGAGCATTTACACATTAACACACAATCACGCCGCAAGAGCCTACAAATTGACCGATCCAAGCCTCTCACCACAACCAAGCTTCGCCAACACAGCTCCCCACCCCAGCATGGTCCTTTCGCCACCTGTTCTTGGACCAAAGAGAAAACCTACCATACATCTGTCGCTTGTAAACATAAAGGAACCTCACTTTGAATGACCCCAAAAGGTGATGTTCAAACCATCCAAAAAGAGAAATATCGCGACTCCTTACTCAGTACCCTCCCACCACCAAGCCAAGTGCAGCCTTTCCAAGAGGTCAGTGTATAGTCTTCAAGAAAGGCCAGTGTACTCTTTCATGTGCGTTGCCATCTATTTTTTTAGATGGCTCCTACCACGGACCCCTTTGGACGAATACAAAAGGAAACCACCATGTTTGGGGCCAGACTCCTATATGACACACACCCATATATGTCTACATATATCATGTGTCCAAAGCATCAGAAGGAACACACCCCGCTCACTCTTTTTCTTCCCTCCCCCCCGGCGCCCCCCAAACCGCGCGCCCGCGTGGGCGTCAGGGCGGTGGAGGCTTGCGCCGCGGCCAGCAGCTCCACGAGCCGCGGCCGCGCCGAGCGCCTAAGCCAAGCGAGCCAATCGACGCAGTCGTGGATGGACAAAATCCTGCACCAAATGGAAACCATGCGAAACCACTTTTGTTGGTATTTACAGGGTGCAGGATTTCGTCCATCAGTACAAACGGGCCATGTGGGCCCCAGCAACAAGAACCTCCTGATGTTTGTAGCTCATGTGGGGGTTCTCGATGTTCTGGAGAACAGGACCCCGGAAAGGGAAGCCATAAGGTCTGGTGATGAGTCGACTGGAAAGGAGGAGGCAGTGGGTGCAATTCAAGAAACACTCCCTGGGCATCAACTAATCAGCAAAGTTGATGGAATCATGGGCCGTTTGCGTTGCCCAGCAAAAGCCCAAAGAGGCCTGCAGCTCATTCCCCGAAAAGGTGCAGTGCCCCGTCGACAAAATTCGTCTGGGGGAGCCGGGCGAGCCGGGCGTGCGTGTACCCGAAGTCGAGAGCCCGCGACAGGTGCCGGCCCTGGCACAGACAGATTGACACACCCCCACTGTGTTACGTGGGGAAAATATGCTGGGTGTGTTTTTCAATCACAGTGGCAGAGTTTTGGGAACCACAAGCGACACCCCAAAAGGGCTTATTGCTGGAAAAATAGACCCGTATCCCAAGTTGTTTTCATTGCAAATCCAAGCGGCGGTCTTCATAAGCACGAGGTCACCAAATAGCATGCCCTTTTAAGTGTATGAGGTCTCATGTGTATACACCGCTGAAAATTTGCTGCCAACGAATTCCCTCGGCAAAATTGCTGGGATCTGCAGAGGAAAAAATAATAGCAAAATATAGGTCTGGGCCACTCCTGCTCCAAACAGTTTGGGAGCATCTGCGGGCTGCGCGCGACTTGCGCGAGACTTGCGCGAGACTTGCGCGAAAACTTGTTAATCTTTGGGCCATGGTGATGATGATGATGATGATGATGATGATGATGATGATGATGATGATGATGAATCACTGCGTCACTTTCGCTTCACTTGCGCTTTACTTGGGCAGCCCTATGTTTGACTTGCGCGGCCGCTCCTGCAACACACTTCTGCCCTTCAAATTATAAGCGGCGGTGCAGCTGATTTGATACGTCCAAAACAACTGGGACCATGCCTTACATTGACACATACAACGGGTTTTCTTTTTCGGCTCTTATCGTTTTGCCAACCCCCCGCCTCGAAACAGCCCTCAAAACAGAGGACTGGCCAATCCTAATCCATCCCTGCAACTGTGAAAAACTAATCAGAGTTTCTAGGGCGCGAGGATCCTTGGTCTTCTTCAGAGGCCAATCTTCGATGGCCTCTAATGGGAAGCCACTACAAGGGGGCCCTTGCATAACTCAAAGGAAGGACAAAGGATTGCCTAAGGATTGTCGTTGAAGAGCCCAGGTTGACCCTCCCTCAGACTCAAGCACCCAATGTCCCTGCAATCAAGTACTCGTTGACAAAGGCTATTGTGGATATTTAATGTTGGCCTGAGGGAGGATAACCCCTGCTATGAACTTGCCAAGCAGAACACCACCGACATGCGAATCTGCTCTGAAAAGTGTTTGGAAAATGCCGCCCATGTCCCGTAGTGGGCAATTGAAAAAAGAGCAAAACTTGAACGACGATGGGAATAGCGGTTTTCCGGCAAACAAATCGAGGATCACAGCCTTTTATGGGAAACTCATAGCCTTCAAGTTTCTTCTGTGAATTCCCAAGCTTTGTTAGGAGCACTCCCAATGTTGGGTTGTAACAAATCTACTCCTCCTATGTGTGTAGGTGTGCCACATTGAACTTACTTTCGCAATGATCTCGTCCAACCCAATTGTGGGTTCAGTTTGGAGGGTGCTGGGGGTTCCCGTGCATGTTGATCAACCAGCAAACCGCTCCACCTAAGCTTCGACATCCGCAGAGCGGGCACAACGGCCATGGCACACTTTCCAAGCTGAATTTGCTTGCCGGCTTTCTTGAAGAGACCAAAGTGTTTTGGACGACCATCTTGCATTGCTTGGCGAAAACGGGAAAGTTGATACCAAAAGTAAAAAGCGCCTTGTTCCTGTATGTCGCGCTCTCAGCCCAAGTTCGAGATTTGAGTATAGTAGGGTTCAGCATCATTCAGTCTGACGTGTGGTTGGGATTGTGTCCTCTGGCCATGTTCTCGATGTGCACGTTTTGAAAGCCACGAGGATCAGGCCTTCCAGCATTCCACAAAGCACCGTCAAAGCTGCACCGTTTGCTACGGTCACTGCTCCTAGCAGCAACATGCATATGAGCGCAGCCACCGCCGTCCCAATGATCATTCCACCTCCGTTAGACTTGCCTCGGACTCACTCACGCCAGCGCAAGCAAACGTTGCCATATTCCCAGCGCTCGGTGCTTCTCAGTACTGTTGCCAGTGCTGCAGTGCCACAAGACCCTTTGGCCACAGCGTCCTGAAGCTTTCGCCTTGCAACAAGAAGATCCAGAGTAACCCGCGAAACGCTTCCGCTGCCCTGTGTATTTTTAACCTCGCCACGGCCAGAGCAAGTACCAGACACGTTGGCGTGCTGTTGCCATTCGCGCTGGTGCTATTGACAGTAGCAAAAATATCGGGGAGGCTCAATGCACGTCTTGAGCTGTGCACTCCTCAAACAGGGTTCTTACTAAATTTCACCTGAAAGTCATCGCCATTCTCAATGCAAACTCTCTGGCTAAATGGGCCCCGATTTGGGTAATGCTTAAAGCCCATCAAAAAGGGAAACCTAGCGACCCCTGTCAGACCTCGTCAGATTGAATTTCAGCATGAGCTGCCAATGCCTTGCTTTGGAGGCCAATGTGGCAATCGATCACACCGGCATGCATGAACATTAAAAGCACCGGACATGTTTTGTGTTTCGATATTCTCAATAATGAGTGGGCCGGTCTTGTTGCATTGAATTTACCTCAACACCCCATGCACGGACTCCATTCAATGAGCTTCAGCCAAGTTTTGCTGTCTCATATCAGTCAATGTGCTGTACCATACATGGGGTGCATCTGGGTTTCAACGTATTGGCCCGCAGAGCTCTGTCAAAATACGTGGCGTTGACTCCTTGATTCCCATGACTCTCACCACGTTCAATTGTCCCCAGAAACCGGCAAGTATAGTCCTGTACAACTACCCCAAAGAATGGCTGTGGGTCAAGGTGTCATGGCTCCCTTCATCAATATGAGCCCTCCATAATGGTTGCTAACAATCCTGACTCCAAGGTGGACTGCCATTCCTATGGATCCGTCCTGGCTGTACGGGCTCTACCAATCTTCGTCCGTTGCTCAGCCCTTGTCGGCTGCCACGCCACCTCATTTTGACAAAGTCCGCACGCGGTCTAGACAGCGTCAGGCAGGGAAGGCAGGGAAGAGCTTGATCGAGTGCCTCCAGTGCCAGCATCTAGCAAACGACAGGCACTCAGATACTCAACGGCCGCTTTCTCCGCCAGACGGCCTGGGATGCTGACTCCCGAACTACCCTCCGTGGAAGACGAGCGAGCGTCCCCAGAAGACCCTCCCTCTTAAAGGAAGCCTTTCGTAGGTTCCATGATTGTTGGTAGAGAGTCATTCATGTTGCCACTCTGATTAAAGACGCCCGGTTTTCCCAGCCGGCTGCCAGCAAAAAAATATTTAAAGGCACCCACAAGGTTTGGCCACAAGCCTTCTCTTTTTTTGGGGGGGAGCATCTCTCAAAACTCCCTCTGATTGACGGCTCCTTTCACAGTGCCAGAAATCACTAAAAAGGCAAGAGGAAAACGCAAATTCGCTATTACAGTTGGTGAAAGACAAAGGTTTGACAAGCTCGGAAAGGGCACCCCCCTTCAAGGCTGGCTGAATGCCTTGAAGGCTTGCCGGGGGGGGGAGCGGGCGGTTTACAATCATGGTCCCCATTGCGTCACAAATGGCTTGCAGAATGGCTTAAGAGTGTGCTTAAGACAAAAACAAAGGAGGACCGCGTCAAGTCGCAGTGGATTTGGACAAATCTATAATGCGACTATGTGAGATACAACCAAGTCACTATTCACATCTCCTGTGGAGGAACCGATCTCTGCCATGATCCTTTCATGATCGCCCGCGTTGCTGGCGCTGCACATGCTGATATCCACTTTCTCCATGGCGTCTTTGATACTCTTCTTCAACTCCTTGATCTTTTGTGGAGTCTCTTGTCGCGGCACTTCAATGCGAATCGTCTTCTGCTGCTTGCACGCCAAGTAGAGCTCAAAACAGCACCAGGAGCGCGTGGGAGGTTCGATGGTCTTGTCCACAGCCAACAAGACTTGCTCTGCTTGATTCAAGGCACGAGCAAATGGAGAGCAACTCGGTTTGTTGCCCAACACCTGGCACCGTGGTCCATGATCGAATTGGAAATTCCTCTGCTTGGTAGTGACCACATTGTTGCGTGAAACAACATGTTTGCATGGTGAAAAACGGCTGAACTTCACTTGTGTTTTCGTGTCCAGCAAGCAACAACCATGCTTGGGTGAACATGGGGTGCCAAAGGAGCCACACAGGTTGGTCATGAAACAATTGTAACTTCAACCCATCGCCACTCCAGTAAAAGTGAAAAGCCGAAGTTTGAGTTTTCTTCGGTTTTGCAGTCCGCAAGTGCTGAAGAAATGCAAAGAGGACTAAGGGTTTGCTCAATTTCGACCGGGCTTGCACTTCGACCAAACACAGCTGTGATCCTCTTTTTGAAATCGTGATGTCCTCGGGCATCCTGTCTTGCAAGGCGCCCAAACTACGTAAAGCCAAAGAAACCGAAGCAAACCTTGAAGGAAACCCCAAAGGAAACCCTGCCGGAAACTCTGAAGTGCCTTCATGGACGGGAGCATAACCCCTTCAGGAAACTCCATTGAGCATAAGGGTGAATTCCTGAGCAAACCCTACTGGAAGCTTCAACCATTTTACGAAATACGTCACCGTCAGGTAGGCGGTACCCAACAAAAACCCTTGAGCAGCTGCAATCGTGGGATCTTACAGGTTCAGGTGCCAACTCCCGTGGGAAAATTGCCATCAATCAGGGTAAGTGCTCCTCGGTGCGATTGTGGTTTTCAGTGTGAAACAAACGTTGCCAGAACAACCTACATGTACCTCGAGACATTCGCGAGCATGGTGCTCAGATTACTTTCCCAAACGAGATGATCGTTCAACCGGAAACGGGACTTCGCCTATGACAATTCTGAACCAATTGGGCGACAAATATGCATCGCTGCATTGTGCACATTGATGTTATTGTATGAACAAACCCACGGGGTCAAACCCAATGCTTCCAGTGTGGGAACGGTGAACCACTTCCGAAAATCGTGTCTTCAGGTTGAATAGGAGCACAAGCCGTTGACCGATCCCAGTTTTGACTGCTTCTGTGGCGGTCGGAGTCATTTGTGGCGGGCCTCACCGATGTTGATATTCTGCGGCAATGCGAAGCTGCAAATCCAAACGTCTTCCTTGGGCCCAAGGCTTTCCAACGTGTCCACAAAGTCCTGTCGGATCACAGCGCGCAGGTTTCACGGGACTATTGGATCTGAACAGGCCCAGGCCTCAGCGTGTACTGGGCAACAAGATCTGGAACTATTGCGACACCGGCTGCTTGAAAAGCAGGGGGAACCTCGTGAAGCAAGGGAACCGTCATCATGGGGGTACGGGCCTGCAATATTGCTCGCGTGGGTTGCAAGTTGGGTTTGTTGGCGGTTTTATACCCCTGCAAACATTGCCACAACAAAGGATCGCACGTGCGTGTATATGTGCAAATATGTTAGCACATGCTTCCCTCTCATGGACCATCGCTTGGGCTAGTTGTACAGAGGCACTCCAGACTTGTAAGATCCATTTCAACTCACAAGTGGAGAAACATCATATTTGCATAGATCCTAAGACTCGATGCAATACATGTTTAAACCAAACAAATGTTGACATCAAATTTGGAAAGTAAATCCTGTTTTGAACAGCTCAAAGGCTACATTTTAAGTACACTTTAGCAGCTCCAGATCAAAACGCGCAACTTCTCCGTACAGGAGCAGTACGCGGAGTACACCGTCCAGGTTGCCAGGGCTAAACAGCCATGGTTTGCGCGCAGGCACATCACCCAAGTCGACACCCCTCCCACCAATGTCAAGAATTGTCTGGAGATGGATGCCTTCAGCAAAATCATTGATGGCGCTGGTTTTGGTGCATTCAGGGTTGGCTGAAAGCGGGTTAAGGTGCGTTTTCGGGTGGGTTTCGAGTGGGTTTGGGGTGGGCTCCGAGTGGGTTTAAGGTGCTTTTCGGATGGGTTTCGAGTGCGTTGGTGGGCGTTAGGGTGCATTTAGGGTGGGTTTAGTGCGGGTTCGGGGGTTTAGCGCTGTAGGTTTGTTTAGGGTGGTTTCTTCTAGAGCTCTACAAGGAATTGTGGGCCTTGTATGGAGCGTTTTCATTGAGGAGCACGAGCTGCACAAGGAGCTTCAAAAGGAGTCTTACACGCAGCTTCACAAGGAGCCTTATGAGGTTTATAAGAAGCCTGTAAGGGAGCTATGTAGCAGCTTGGGTCAAGACTTGAAAGCGAAGTGTTGAATTCCATTTTAAAATCGAACATCTTACTGGTCACACCCCTTCACTGCGTCTCCCAAATGGTGTAGTCACGGCAGTGCCAAACCTGCCCAGAACAGGGATAAGTTAAAAATTGCGAGGAAAAAGGAGGGAATTCAAAACAAACAAACAAAAAGCGAAAAACGAAACACCAAAACTCTGAGGCGAATCTTTGATTTTGCCAGAAATTGTTTTTGGATTCTCTCGATGGTTTCTTGGTTTTGGGAATTGTTGGTGGAAACCCGCAAGCAATATCAAAACACAAGAAACCCAAAAAAAAACATCGAGTTGAAACAACAACAACAAAAAACGAGAACACCCAAAAAACAAACATGGCAAGACCAAACTTATCAGAGTTGTTGTTCTTGTGTTTGTGGTTGTTGCTCTTATGGATGCTCATTTTCGATGTTGCTTTTTCGTCTCCACCTAAACGACAAAAGTGCTTAAAAACAATGTGTTCGCATACAAGCATTAGACAACTGTGAAGAACTGAGGGTGCTTCCTAGCTTTTCACGATTAGCGCAATGCAAATCCAGAACGAAATCCGTTTCAAATGTCGTTCTTATGATATAAACATGCAACAGAGGTGGTTCACGGGGCGGGTGACCATATTACGTGCAAATTGCAACTTTAGAGCAGGATAATGGTCCTGCTATGAACATGGTATGTATATGAGCACACATTTCATATTCGATACACACAACAACATGTGTGCGTGCAAACCACAATCATGCAATACGCAACCAGCACCAGGATATCATGTTGAACTCCTGGAACTTCTCGTTCCAGCAGTGTGACACAAAAGTTCGCGCGCGTTGAATGCGGCCTTCTGTGAGGAAAGCCCACCTGAGCGCGATGACGACAACAGCAGCCTTACGGCTTGCCCGGGCCCGGGAGCAGGGAAACCTGTGAGCAGGGAAACAAGAGTTCTATGCACTATTCACATGTTTGGCCAAATTTGGCTTTAACTCGGTGACTTGGGAGTTCTGCATTTAAGCCACAAGCACATCAGCGGTATTCGCCACAGGCACCAGTTAGGCGTACCTCACAATGCCCTCGGTTTCATGGACAGTGGAGAATCAAAGAAACAAACCCCAATGAAGAATCCAAGAAAGAAGGTGCATCTTGCTTTGTGTTTCTGCCGCAAGGCTTCTGCAGGGAATGCCCAAGTTGTGGTGTCCGATAGATCACTTTGTGGCGTGCTTGCAATGGAGCCAAGCCAATCATCAACCAGTCTGGGTTGCAAGTCGAATGAAACTAACTAGAAATTGCTGGTCATTTTCGAACCACTCCCGTGCGGAAAACTCGTGCTTGGGAATAGACATCCAGGGGTGAGCCTGCAACAAAATTAACGAACGCGAACTATCGCCTGCCACCAGTCACAAAATGACGCAATTGCGGATCCAGGCGCATTCCAAGGGTTCCCTTGGCATCGTGCCCCTTCTTCCGGGCTCGCTCTTTGGTGAGGGGCTTGATCAAAAAGCTTACCACCACGTGCATGTTGGAGATCAACGGATCGAGCTCCCGCCCGTCACTGTAGGCATAAGGCATATCTCCATGATCCATCGAGCAGTCCTGAAAAGGGGCCGCAAAAGCTGAAAAAGGGAATATTTTTTGTTTGGCCTGCGTAAGGTCTCTTTTCGACCTGTCTTGGGTCAGGGTTATTTTTTTGCCTGCTGGAGGGTCTTTGTTTGACCTGGTCGAGGGCTTTTTGACCCGTTCCAAAGGGAAAACACGTGACATAAACCTTGCATGGTGTCTATTTACATCTATCTATCACATGAAGGATAGTGAAACTCATATTTGGCGATCGCACTGTCTGGTTCGAAAGCGGCAGAGTCCTCATCAAAGCACAGGTGCTTTGGCCGCCCCTCATCCATCGTAAAAGCGTGTTTCTCACAATACTTCACCAACGCGTACCTCGTGGAAAACAACCCCCATGGTCAAGATCAACATAAATATACTTGAAAAGAAAACTTGGGATCAAAAAACTGTTGCCAGTTGCAAGTGACACAATCCGTGAACAACGCTGCCGCATTCTTGAAACAAAGGATCCCGAAATCAGCCAGCCACTTAGCTCGTTTGCAGTTTAACTTGTTAGCTAGTGTACCAGGTAGTTAGCGTCGATATGTAGTAAAGTAGCAAGCTACAAGAAAGCCAGAACGCTGCAGAACAAAGCGTAGCAAAAAAAGGCTCGGAGGGCCGGCCCATGCGAAGTTTGCAGACGGTTCCGCCACCCAAATGACGAAGACTGCGAAACTGTGGCAATAAGAGGACAACTTGTTAACTAGATAGCTGGCTAACGAGCTAGCTCGCCAGCAAGGCCGCTAGCTAGCTGGCAAATTGGTAACCACGCAAACTGGCTGACTACCTAGAGAGACGACTAGCCCCGGCAAACCAGTGCCAGCCACGCCTTCAACGGAGTACTGCAGGAGCGAACCCAAGCCGTAAACTACGATAAATGTTAAACGCCGCCAACCAGGGGGTTCAGAGCGTCCCATAGAAACGAAAATGTAATTGTCTCTTGCAGGTGCATAATCTGCACCAGCTGCTTGGGAAGGTTAAACTCACTCTTTTGTACAGCGGAACCATAGACCACGGTTGCGGTTGTCCGTTTTCAACACTGTACCTCAACGGGAACGAACTCCACCTTTAGGCATACAAAACATAAAAGCACACGCACACAAATGGACAACCCTGTCGACCAAGGCGCTGATGGTCGCTCAAAAATTTCGAGAGGTGCGCCACGGTGAGGCTCCAAAATTCGGGTCCCCCAGCAGCCTTCATGGCAGCCTGCGCCAGCAAGCGCTCCTTCTGCTGCTTCGCTGACTGACAAGAACAGCAAGCACAAGCAGCACAGGCACCTGACAAGTCCGCAAGTGCAAAGTGCAGCCCATCACAAGTGCATACCATCACCATCCCATATCTCTATCCCATATTTGTTGATAGAATGTCCTCAAAAGCTGTTGAGTATGCGACAGTTGAACAAACACACGCTCAGTGGTCCTAGTTCCCATTGCAGCTGGTTGGGTAGAAGCATAATTGTACGCATCACTGCTAAGTATATCCCATGAAACCCCAACTGTTGGCTGTCGGCCCGGGCTTCCGACGTCCAATCTTTGTAACATAGCATCCCGGAGGGAAACAACCAAAAATGAGGGCTCGACAAGTATGAATGCTAGGCCATACGTGCCATGGTTGAAACTGGGTTTGTTGCCTCATGAGGGCATACTCAAAGCCGTCCCCCTATGCTCCGCCAGAATTTCCCGATAGTCTCTCGGCTTTACTAGGGAACTCGAGCCAAAATAAGCAGCGGTTGTAGTATATGAGTGTATACATTGACAAGCATCTCTTCTGGCAGCTGGAAATTCAGCCAAACCTGTTGGAGGCCTTCTACTGTTTCTATGGCCCCAAAGAGCGCAACCGTGCAACCGCCAATGACTCCAACAGAAAGACCTCAATCGCTGAAATTAGCCTAGAATTAGGGTCAGTCTTGGGCACAACTGACGACAGTATCTTTGGAAGCCGAGCATCTCTGGCCGCGGCTGCTCAGTTTCGTGTCCAGTCGCTTCAACGCTCTCTCCGTGGGGACATCGATGGGTGCGGCAAAGGTCCACGATGACTTTGGCTTCAGACAGAAACCTGGTTGGTAGTCGCGTTGGCGGCTCAAACCCCCTAGTTAATGTTGGTGTGAGTAAAGGGTCGCAAAGAGAATGGCAACTGTGAAATGCTGATGTAACGGATTACAGTTTGGAGCTTTGAGGGCTTTGGTGCGGGGGCAAAGGGGGGACGCCGAAGAGTGAACGGTTCTAAGCAAGCTGTTCCCTAGAGACATATGTTTCATTGTGGGCAGCGGCCTTCATGTTGTGATACTCAAGTCTAAAGGGACGAACTTGAGTGACCTGTCCGAGACCGGAACACCGGCCTACGGCGACACACGCCGCTACCAGCGCGAGCGCCGCCACGGACACCAGGGACCACTGCAGAACCTCACCGAGCTCGGTGCCGGCATCTACGGCATCCCCATCCATGAAGGGCTCAACGGCGTCCGCAGATTCCAAAGCTGAAGCGGCACCGCACCACTGGGAACCCAGCTTGGTGCAACCTTCTTCCCAGCCCACCGCATAGCACGGCAAAGCCCAGTTCTTGTGAAAGCAATCCTGGTGGCGCTGCGGGAACATCTATGGATTAAGAAGAGCATACCCAATGGTGGTGAAGTGACCAAAGGTGAAGACATCACTGCCGATTATGCCTCTCCCGGAGCAGACTAGCCATGGCCCCCCACCCTCCACACTCACGAGCTTACGACCGTTACAACAAATCTAGAGACTTCGACTCCAAATTCCCATCGGCCCCTTCCCTTCCCATCGGCCACTTCCACTTGTCTGTGAGCCGATCTCGAGAACTCAAACATCGGTTCCGCTAACAAAAGCCAAGCCCCTTCCAAAAAGAAACCCAACGGGGGATTAAACAAAGTTGCTCATTCACAACCCAAAGCAATACAACAGCATCACCCTTTCCGAGCCTCAGGGTGCACTCAAAACACGAAGGCACCAACATGAAACGTAAACCCAACTGTGCGCCGAGCGAAACATTAAGCAAAACCAGACTGGCAAGCTGCTCTGGCGGGATACTGGCGGGATCCACTGGCGAACACTGGCGAGCCGCTCCGGCTCGATACTGACCGGATACTCGGCAGGATCCATCAAGGGATACTCAGCGGGATGCTCGGCGGGATCCACTGAAAAGCTACTCTAGGAAACTCAGCGGGATACTCGGCGGGATCCACTGGCGAGCAGCTCTGGCGATATACTCGGCGGGATACTCGGCGGGATCCACTCGTGAGCTGCTCTGGCGGGATACTGGGTGGGGGCGTGGTGTAGAAGCATTGCAAACGCGGATTCCAACAAAAAATCTAACAACCCCTTCCTGTCGGGTGGGAAACAATCAGAAAAAAGACTCATGGATGCCAACATTGGCTAAGGCTCCATCTCTTTGGCCAAGCAGTCTTCGCAGCTGAATTCCGTCACACAGTACTCACCTCCCGTGTCCAAACATTGCTGCTGACTGCCAGCAGAGAAGCAGGAACCGCCTGTCAGGGAAGGGACCCAACCAATCCTTCTCCCCCTTTGGACTCGCCCAAGAATAAGGCGAAGTAAGGCCAAACAGCATGAATGCAAAAACCAGACAATCACAAATATGCCCCTAATTCCGGAAGGGGCTGCAAACAGGCACTGGAAGACTCACTTATCTGCCACGGCCCAGAATATTTCTCAACCCAACTCATACCACGCCGGTGTATTCCACTACGCACCCACTATGATAGAATTGTATCCAAACAATCGGGGTGGTAGCGGAAAAACTAGGCTAGTCACTATCACCATCCAATGATCGGTCATCTTCCCATCATGGAGCATGATTGAACATGCCTATTCCATGACGACAGTGTGGGCAGTTGGTAATTACAATTTCCCTGACAACCAAACAATAGACAGAGCGGACGTTTTGACCCCACCTTCATAGCAATCCTCATCCTTTCCCTTCTTGCATTGCTGGCATCCACCAGCGGCTGCGGCGCCGATCAAGCTGAGCACAAGAAGGCGAAGCATCGCTACTCTGCGGACACTGCTGCTACGACAGCTAGCTGCCTCTAAAAGACGCTGTCGGGATGATCATCGGCGCATGACTGCACAACCGCGAGGTAAGTTGTTTCAGGTACCGTGAGGTCTAAGAACATCCGCGAGGTTACAGGTCAGCCCTAAAGTGCGAACCGATTTTATATGACGTCAGTCGCACGTTGCGGTTTGCAAAGAACGGCATGCAGGGACCACGAACATTGCGCCCTTGGAACGTCAACCCGCCACAACAAATCTCAGTTCGAGTTGGATCAAAACTATCAAAGGAGAGACTTGGAAAGACTTGAAAAACTCATTGCCTCAGCGATTCCGGCATGTCCACACAACTTCGGCTTCGGCTGTCCTGGCATTTTGCCAGGCAAGAGCACCACATAATGCCATCTAAGCAAAGGGCAAACTGTAAGACTAATGTCATTGAGGATTCATGGTCAAATCGCAGTGGGTATCCAATTATGAGTTGACATGCGCGCACGTTATGCTCCTATGGCATAAAGAACAAAACGGCAAACCACAACAGCGGGTTCCAACGCCACACGCGTTCGCTTTACCCAAAATGCTATACTTACATCCATCCAACCCTAAAACAATCCTACACCCAACCTCAACTACCCCTTGCAAACCCTACACCCAGCTCCGACCCATTTCTAAATTAAAGATTCAACTAACTTCGGTTCAATTCTTAACCAATTCTCCACTCCAATCTCAAACAGGCTCAAACAAACCTAAAATCAGCTTACCGCACAATTTCAGAAAGCGGTCTTCAGTGTTGGAAATTCAGTGCCTTCTTTCCAGCGGCGTCGGAACCGTTTGAGATCGTCCATGGCATTGATACTCGAAATGCAACTGCAGACAAATTGCTGTAAGTCTCATCTGATGGTGTGGAAGTCGATCTTGCATGTGTGCGCGTTGGTTTCAGTTCCAACACGTCAAACACCTGAAACCGTTTTAAGCAAGGCACAATGCTTGTCAAGCGGCAGTCGATTGCTTTGACCCTTTTGCTGACCCTCTCAAACTTTCATTCCTGCGTCTGTCACTTCAACGGAGCACGCCTCCTTTTTTTTTGTGACTCGATGCAATGCAGTTCCAAACCCTGCCATAGGGATTTGCTTTGGGATGTCTGTCAGTCATCGCCTCCTGACAGACGGATGCCTTTGGCATCATGGTCAGGGACCCTTCATGGACACCCTGTCCAGGAGTCACCCTTTCCGACCATGCCAAAACGCATCAGCGCGCCCTGCGCACCCCAGCCCGAAAAAGGTCGTGGGCCTTCAAACGGAGAGATTGCCCGAACGTCGGGTCCCTCCGCAGGGTGGGTGGGTGGGACTCAAAAACAGCCACTTTTGGATCAAGGCCACTTGAGTCCCAAAATGGCAAGACATCAAGGAATGATCAATGCATACCCAAGCCTACCAGTCGCCCGGGCTCCACAAATCATATAACGTTGGTGGGAGGCACGCCACAAAGCCTTCCCGGCCGTGAGTTTGCGTGTCAACCCACACAATCAGGAATCCACCGGCCCCGCGGGGCTTCCAAAGCCGCGTCCGATGCCGCAAAGAAGCGCGGTACACCTCGACCTCCCGCATGGGCTTGCTGCGGATGACGGCCTCCAGCACGTCGAGGCAACCTCTGATTGCAGGAGTAAGCTGAGTCTCCTTCTTCTCAGCCTGCCGGTCTTTGATGGCGTTCAGCCCGGAGCACCCAACCCGGCCGAAAACCCCCAATTTGAAAAAGTTGGCCAATCCGTAGAGTTTGGAGGCCTGCCCTGGAGGCAAGCGATCGCTGTCCCGGCATGCCCGGATGTAGCCCAACAGCTTCTCCTGCAAACGCTCTCGAGCCCAGAAACGAACCACTCCTTCGTGCTCAAATGGTGGTCGAGGCCCAGAAAAGTCCCATCTGGCGCCATGGGCTGGTGCTTCTCGGCCGCAAAGGAGTTCCAAGAAGCTTGTTCAGCTCGTTGAGGGCCCACTGGCCACTGCCCTTGCTGACATTGGCATCGTCGAAGTACATGGTACAAAGCACGTACACCAGCCGCCTGGCCAGACTCTCCACCAGTCGTGAAAACCGAGCAAGCGGAAACCCAACAAGGAGGCCATAAACCTGAAAGGCGGGGCAGCCCCACTGGTGATGGAAGAATGTCACCACACACCCGAGGGACTCCTTGTCCCCCATGGGTGAGTGTCGGTAGGCATTGGGCCAGTCTTCTCCACCTGACTCCCAACCATCACCTTGGGCCATGACAGCCGCAACGTGGGCCGCCGGCCTCAGCGGCGTGCAGAGAACTAGTTTGTTGGCGTCCTGGGAGCGCTCGGATTGCCCGCCGGCGTCTGCGTTGTCAATGATGCGCTTCTTGCCTGAGGATTGTACAATAATGCAGCGTGGAATCAACCGGTACGGCCGTTGCTGCAGGACTGCCTGTAACTGTTGTTGCGTGAGCGGTGGAGTGCAAAACCCAGCCGCCGCATCGGCCTCAGATTGCTCCAGCAACGCATCATCATCCTTGCCTGCTCGCAGCGTCTGCAATATGGCGTGGTTGTGCCCCAACCCCTTCCAAGACATCCTGCTGCGAGATCACGCACAGGGAAAACCCCATAATGCGGCGCGAAGCCAACCGCTGGCAGACCGCGCACCAATCCAAAAGGGTACGAGGTGTCAGCCCAGGACTGAAGAAGGATGAGAAGCGCCGAAAAGCCCAAATCACGCTTCGCAGTAACCCTCTGGACAGCTTCGCTCTGGAAAGACCAGAGTTGATGGGTCACCGGCCGCCATCTGCTTTGCAACTCACGAAGGACCGAGATAGCCTCTTGGCGCAACTCACGCAACCTGCCGCGGAATCATCCAAGACGGTCTCTTGCTCCATCGGAAGAGGATGCCGGCTGATAGCCATCGCCTGGTTGAAGTGGTCATCATCCGACAGGCCGAAAGGGAGCCTTGCTTGGCGGCAAGGCCGCTTTGTGCGACAAGGAACCTCCCTGCCGACCCTCGGTCACTCGTTGCCAAATGGTCCATCCCATTCATACCCTGCCTCCTTCCGCCAGCCGGCGAAAGCAGAAATCGGGGCGCAGTTGATCAAGTCCTCCACCGGGAACTGAAAATTGTGGAACCAATCTTCTGGGAAGAGCTTGCGAAAGGCTAGCACCAAAGCCTCCTGACTCCACGGTGGCACGCTCGCCTGCGCCTGACCCAGCATCCCTGCCAACAGGACACGGCGACCCTGGAGCACTCGCACCTTGCGCCTGGAGCTGGCTACGAGTGGAGTAGAGGGCGACGCCGGGTGCGTAGCCTGGAACACCAGGCCAGCCAGCAGATCTGCTTCACACAAGTGATCCCAAGGGCAACGCCAAGGTGGTGCCCTGCAAGGGTGTGAGGTTGCAGTTCAAGTCGGACTGCAGGATGTGCTGGATTTACAAAGCTGCCCACTCATCTTCCCAATCCACCCCTGGGGTCCACGGGGACGCCCAGGCGCTCACCGGCCCACATAGATACAGCCAGCCCCCCCCTGCTGGGGAGCGGGCTGCTTCTTAGGAGGGTTGCAACGCCAGCTGAACCGCCAGCGGCTCCATGGCCCATTCCCTCAAGGCCTTGGGGTCAAAGTCAAGCCAATGTTCCCTCCTACCTGCGCACTCAGGTTGAGGCATGCGTGGCACGTGCAGCTTAGCGCGCCTCCCACACGCACTGCCCACCACTACCGCGATGGCAAAAGAGAGGGGTGCTGTATACCCAGCCTCTTCATGGGATGGAAGTACCCCTTCTCCTGCACTGTCGTCGTTTGCCATTCTTGAGGATGGTGGCTGTGGTGGCAGTCTAGCGGCGGCCACTGGCTGATCTCGTCTACATTGTGTCGACTTACATCGAGCTCCTCCCCACGCACAAGCTGCATAGCGGCAGTCAGACCACAGCCCCGAGCGCAACATCTCTTGTTCTTGCTGCAGCCACCAATGGAGAGACCGCCACGGGTTCTCACGCACTGAGGCCCCACCGCGCTCAGCATGTGCCTGTAGCTGGGACAACACCCAGCTGCAGGCTTGACAGTCTGCACGCGGGTTAAGTCCGCCCCGGCCAAATCAGGGAGTCCTTCCGGAAACTCTTCTCAGCGGACTGTTCAAAGGAGCAGTCCTGCCATCAGCAAATTTGCAAGGTATCTCACGAGCCCGGGATTTGGTGCTCCAGTTGCCGCCGCCACGAAGTCCACCTCCTTCAACTGCTCAGCCAGAGACGCCTGCCGATGGGAGTTCGAGGGCACAGCACGCGCATCAGGAACCAGAACTCGGGGAAGTAGGACTTGATGTTCTCCTTCACGGAGCTGTCCTTCTTGCTCTGGTTCGGCCCGTGTGGCTGGTCCACAAACTCCACCTCATTCGGCAGGCCGGTCAACCGGCGGCGATCCGCGCCCTTCCACTCCTCGTCGGACCTCCAAAGCCCGTTGGCGCAGATCATCAGCATGCCGTGGAACTTGAAGACGTTCTCGCCCTAGAACTTCCTCGCCGCGGTCAAGTTGTTGCCCCCGCTGATCTGACGCAGCACGGCGCCGGACAAGTCCTGGGTGGGCTTGAAATCGTCCACGAACGCCAGCTTGCACCCCTCGAGGTTCGCAAGCTGCTCGCGGGGCTTCTCGGTCTTCTGGACGACCAACGCCTCCTGCGTCATGACCGCCACGTATCCCCGCTGGCTGCCACCATTGAAGGGGCCCAGGCACCTTCCCCTACGAAGGGGGCATGGTGTGGGAGCAACGACACCCCATCCACGACGCGGTCCTGGGCTTCGAGCACTGCATGGTGGCCAAGGCCAGGCGCATCCTGGACGCGCCCCGCGCTACCTCACGCAGGTGAAGACGGACTGCCTGCTGACGCAGCGGCTGCCGAAGCGCTTCTCGGAGCGGCTGCGGGCGCTCGAGGCGCTGCGCATGGCCGAGCGCCCCGAGAGGAGGTGGAACGAGACGGACGACCCCGTGGCGCACTGCCTGGCGGGCAACTCCCTGCTGCTCACGGGCCTGCAGGGCCGGAAAGACGCACCTGGCCCGGATGATCGT